CCCCAAAACCCCAAAACCCCAAAACCCCATCAACTAACATATATGAAATGTTAGTGGTAAATATTTTCATAAATTCTCAATTTTATTATTAAATCAATACTAAAAATCAGATTACATATTAAATGGAAAATCAAAAAGAACCTTTATTAGGAAGCAATTCTGTTGGTTAAGAATAATCTCATGAGAGACCAGAATCAATAGAATAAAACCAGAAAAAGGAGTAGAAACTATTCAAAGGTAACATTGCAATTGAGTCAACTGGAGTGTTTGGGAAGATCTTCTTTAATTGGTGCTTTCCATTTGTTTAGGTAAGTTTAATCATCATTTTTTTTACTTTATTTAATTAATAACTTTTTGTTAGGCAGCAACTAATGAAGGCTTGAAATTAGAATAGCTTGGAGATCTCAGAGATAAAGATCAAATAAATAATCAAGAAAAGAAAATAAGAAATAGCTGGGAATACTACAAATAGACCAAGAGTAAAAATAGTTTAATTAGAGCAGTGTTCTATGCTTATAGATGTAAGTATTCCTTACAGACCATATTCATGAATATTAAACAATGATATAGGGGAATACGGTTTTGCTTTTGCTTTAAACCTTATTGGTGGCTCATGTGAATTTGCATCCCCTTTCTTGATTAATCTAATTATCGGCTTTATAGAAGAACCAGGCTAGGAGACATATTGGGGTGCTTTATATGTCGCAGCATTGGTTATTACCTAATGCTTGAACTATATCCTATTTGAGCATATTATCTATCAACAAGTTATGGTTGGAGTCTCTAGTGTTAACTCCCTAGTTGTATTGATATATGAAAAGCTATTCAGAATATCGTCAGCAACAAACAAACAATTCTCTCAAGGTGAAATAGTCAATTTTATATAGGTGGATGCTGAATCTCTATTTATTTTGAGTTTCGACATGCCCACGATGATCAAGTTTCCAACAATTTTAATACTGTCAACAGCTTTCTGCTTTTACTATCTAGGGTTGAGTTTCTTCGCTGGAATAGGAGTTTTTGTATTAGGATTTCTAACTAATTTTATTCTTGGAATGATTAGTGCTTCATTATGGAAAACTCTTATGGGTAAAAAAGATCAAAGAATGAATTCGACAACTGAGACGATTCAAAACATCAAAATGATTAAACTATATGGCTGGAATGAAACTTTCATGAAGAGAATAGGTGAAAAGAGAGAAAATGAATTAAGTGCACTTAGAAGAGCATTCTTTGTGAGCTGCTTTATTGTTACCTCTCTTTACTTGTTCCCATAAATGCTTAGTCCAGTAGTATTTACTACATACATTGGGTATGGAGGTAAATTAGACCTAAAAACAACATTTACAATTCTTACATTCTTCAATTTAATCAAAGAGCCTTTGAGATCTGTGCCCTTATTTTTTGGAGAGTTAGCTGAGACTCTAGTATCAATGAGAAGAATTCAGAAGTTCTTAAAAAGTGATGAAATCAATTCTTCTATAGTCTCTTAAACAGATGTAAAATATTAACTCTTAATTTCTTAGGATATCAATAATGAAGATTCTATAAATATAGAAAAAGGAAATTTTTCTTGGGGTTTCCCATACAAAAAAACAAAGGAGGATTTAGAATTAGAAAGAGAAGATGAAGATGATTAAGATAAAGATAAAAAAGAAGAGAAAGAAGATGTTTCAAAAACAAAAGTAAATGATTAAGAAGGAGACTAAACTGTCTTGATTGCTGCAGATGAAAAGAAAGAAATAATTCCAAAGCAAATAAAGGATCTAATTTTATTGAAAAACTTTGACCTTAAAATCAAGCGTGGGGAATTCATTACAATAATTGGAGAGTAAGTATAATATATTCATATAAATTTACATAGTGTTGGTTCAGGCAAAAGTAGTCTTTTAAATGCTATTATAGGAGATATGCTTTACATTGATGAAGAAATTATAAATCAGTTTGGAGGTCTAGAAGCAGAATTAGATGAAGATAAGATGTAAGAGCTAAAAGAACAAGTACTTTCAAAGGTTCATGAGGTTAAACCAATCAAAATATATGGCTAGCTTTCATATGTTTAGTAGTAGCCTTGGATATAAAATATGACAATTAGAGATAATATACTATTTGATCAGCCTTATGTCGAATCAAAATATAATTAGATTATCAAAGATTGTGAACTAGAGAGGGACCTTGAAATATTACCTTAAGGAGATATGATTGAGATTGGTGAGAAAGGGATTAATTTATCTGGAGGATAAAAGGCAAGAGTAAGTCTAGCAAGAGCTGTATATGCAAATAAGGATATTATACTAATGGATGACCCAATCTCGGCTCTTGACGCTAATGTGAGAAAGAAGATATTTAAAAATGTAATTATGAAATAGTTTAAAGATAAAACAAGGATATTGGTTACTCATGCAATGGATTTCTTATAACATACAGATAGAATTATAATCTTAAAAAATGGAGAGATCGCTGCTTAGGGTAGCTATGATGAACTCAAGGATAATGAGTAGTTATAAGAAAATTTAAAAATTCACAAAAAAAATAATTAGCATTCCAATCAAATGAATGATGTGAAGTATAATGAAGATTCAATGGTAATATAATAAATTCCTCACATTTAGACACTTCAGACAGTATCTGACAATTAAAGATAAACTATCATGACTGAAAATTTAAAAACTATAGAAATTGTAGATGATGATATTTAAATTGAAGATGATCAGCCAATACTTGGTGAAAAGCCAAGGACTAAAAAGTAAATGGTTGAAGATGGAAAGATATTAGAGGATGAAGATAAAGAAATTATAAGAGTATAGCCTGAGAGTTATAAAACTTTGCTAAGACTGTCTGGGGGTTGGTAGCTACTATTGATTGTAAATTTTGCTATGATATTTTTCGTTGGATCTTAAGTCTACTCGGATTACCTAATAGGCAAATGGACCCAGAGTTTAAGTGATGATAAAGGAAAAGAAGATTTCAAATATTTTACTTTTATGGTATTTGGCATGGCAATCATTAACTCTATTTGTGCATTTATAAGGACATTTACTATATAGTTCTTTTCTATTTCAGCTTCAAAAAATCTTCACAATAGAATGATAGCAAGAATAATTAAAGCACCAATCAATCTATTCTTTGATGTAACTCCCATCGGAAGAATACTCAACAGATTCTCAAAAGATTTGACTACTTTAGATCAAGATATTGCTTTTACAATAAGCACTGCTGTTGTATGCTTCTATGGAGTGGTAAGTACCTTAGTAGTTTCAGCTGTAGCAATTTATTGGATAGTAATTCCTATTCCTTTGGTTCTTTTCTTGTTGTACAAAGTGTTCAAATATTCTATAAATTCTTACAGAGAATCTTCTAGAATAGAAAGTATAACTAAAAGCCCACTTATCAGTTTCCTAAGTGAAACAGCTGCTGGCATTTCTACTATTAGGTCTTTCAAAAAAAGCGATGAATTCATTACTAGAAACTTTAAGCTATTGAATAACAACATCTTGGCAAATCAAGTTTAAAATGGGATAGGAGCTTGGATATCACTTAGATTAGATGCTATTTCTATTTCGGTAATGGCTCTTGCTTGTAGTTTTTGCCTGGTTTTTAAAGATTCAAGTGACCCTGTAATGATTGGAATGCTACTAACATATATCCTGAATTTAACGGACTTATTACTATATCTGATGTACCTTATTAGTTAGATCGAGCGTAAAATGGTCTCTGTGTAGAGATGCTTCAAATTACTGGACATACCGTAGGAATCAGAGAGCACATAAGAATAGAAGGAAATTTTCAAATAATTTAACTCAGAATGGCCTTAAGAAGGCAAAGTAGAATTCAAAGAGGTATGCTTAAAATACAGACCAACAACAGAGATCGTTTTGAATCAATTATCATTTGAAGTTAAGCCTGGAGAAAAAATTGGTATAGTTGGTAGAACAGGAGCTGGAAAGTCAACTATGTCACTATCTTTGACTAGAATAGTTGAATTATTATCAGGATAAATTGAAATAGATGGCATTGATATTAAGAATGTGCCTTTAGATATCTTAAGATAGAAAATAACTATCATTCCCCAAGATACAACAATGTTTAAAGAGACGCTAAGATTCAACATGGATCCTGAAAATTAAAATAACGATGAAAGAATTAAGTAGCTTTTGATTGAAGGAGGTTTGGAATCTCTTTTAAACAGAGATGAAAAAGGTTTATTAATGCAAATCGATGAAAACGGCAGTAACTTAAGTAGTGGAGAGAAGTAACTTATTTGCATTTGTAGAGCTATTTTAAGGAAAAACAAAATTGTCTTGCTTGATGAAGCAACTGCAAATATTGATGTTGTTACTGAGCAGAGTATTTAGAAATTGATTAATCTCGAATTTAAAGATGCCACTGTGATTACTATTGCTCATAGATTAAACACTATTATTAACTCTGATAGAGTCTTAGTGCTTTCTTTTGGACAGCTTTTGGAGTATGATAGTCCTGAGAATTTAATGTAGAATGAAAATTCCGAGTTTTATAAGTTATTACAAGAGCTTAAAAAAGAATAAGATAAACATCACTAAAGTGAGAGTAATAATCTTTCTTGATCTAATTTATTTACTTACAATAATAAAATATCATATTTAAACTTTTAATAAAATTTTTATGCGCGGGGTTTTGGGGTTTTGGGG